TGCATGCCTCACTATTCCGCTGCTTCCTTCATGTCAAATAGAAATGAAGAAATTCCTTTGCATATGCAGCATCAGCTTGTTTTGATAAAACTAACCATCACATTAAAGATTTTTGGAAGGGGAGTCCTATAAAGAGTAATTCGCCTAGAGATTCATGGTAATGTATAAGTTAAACTCCTTTACTTCCAGTCTGGTTTATGAGACTTTAAAAAGCCATGGAAAAAGATATTTTTACAGATCTTAAATTTTGGGACTGATACCGGAAAGCATGCTTTTAACTCAGTGGTCTCTGCATAGCAGTCTAAATGCTATTCCTATGTCAGGGCAATAAGGTATGGAATTGTGCTTACATGCCTGCTTCCTTAGGGCAAAATCCTACCAGGAAAAAAGGCCCAGAAAGGATTGGATTGAGTTTTATACTTGCAACTGAAAGCCAGTTAGGAGAGATAAAACTTATCTGACATGTCCAGGCCCTGATACTTTACAGCAAAATAGAGAGAGCAGGTAGATGGTGCAAACTTCTGGGAAAAGCTACAATGTGTATACTGTGCTAGGTCAGGAAATATAGTTAATTGAAGACAGAAGTTACTGGTGCTTATGAATTGTTTCTTCTGCAATTAATGTATTTAAAAAAAGAAGGTTAGTGTGTTTGAATAACAAGAACAGGTTCACTTCTTCCTGTGTTATTTACACAAGTTGAAGAGTTGTTTGAGATTACCTCATTGTATTCTTTCCTAGGAGAATAAATCTGAAATATGGGAACATTTTACAAAGACACTGGCCTTTGAAGAAAGCGTTTTGTCATTATTCTATTGATAGCATTTTTGTGCTGAGGGTTGTAATGTGCATATTTAAGTACATTTTGTACATCTAATGTGAATGATTTTTTTTCCAGAATGGTATTGCCACTTGTCTTAGGCAGTATGGTGAGGTTGTGAAGAAGTGCAGCCAGTCTGTAAGCTGGAAAATGACAGGAAAAACTGTATTCCGCATATACCCTCTTCACAAGAACCTGGAAAGGAGACCGTGGGGAAAATTCTGTGGTAAAAAGGCAACTTTATGTCTATTTATCACTGTAATTTAGCTTGAGATGCCCATCGAATGGTTGTAGAGACAGAAGAGTAGCCAGCAAACAAGAAGGATGTAAGACAGTAAGTTATTTTCAGCTGAGAATTAGGAAATTGTGAATCTGCTACTTGTTTTGGGGGAAGACACCATTATTAGATACATCTGTGTGCATATAAGCATGCAGCTGATAGTAATAACTTGCAGGAGCCGGAAGAATGTGTAATTCTCTGTAGCTTTGTCTATAAATGCATTGTCAATATGAGCAGTGTGATAGGTTTTTCTGCTGTTTTTCTTTTTTTAATTTTTTTTTTCTTTTATAGCAAATTATTTAGTGACTGAGGCATTTTGGCTTGATATATCAAGTCACGGTCTTGGAAAGTATTTTTGCATTAGCTTCTAACACTAAATTATACACCACTGATGCTCTTCCTTTAGAGCTGGTGAAATGCATTGCTTTCAAGTGGAATGAAGAAAACCATACTGTAAAAAAAAAAAGGAAAAAAAAAGCCTTGCTCTGACATTTATTTGAAATCTGTGTCTAGATTTCAAATAAATATCTATATTTATTGTTTATGTCTAGATGTCTACATTTATTGTTGGATTTTACTACAGTGTTTTCCCTGTGAGTAAAACAAAGCAGCATATTATGAGAATACTATTTCATCTTACATATCTGACATCTTTTTGATACAGCATTATCTCTGCCCTCTCTCTCTGCTGTGTTATTTAACCAGGGATCCATTATATCTCTGGATGTCACATCTGCTTATGGACTTTTTTAATGTTATCCCATTTCCTTTTCTGTTCACAATGATAGGCCAAA